CTATAGCGCCACCCCTTGTCCACAGGTGAGAGTGACAACAACTGTGAGAGATATGTCAGCAGGGCAAACTAACCTTTTTCACAGCAGACTGTTGACAGTGCAACTAATAACGTTAATAGCAGCTTGGTTCCTTTAAGTATTATAGGTAGCCATTCAGTTATGCAAAAATTTACAACACCAGGGCCTTAGAACAGACAAATAGTAAGCTGTTGTTTTAATGTTATGTTGCACCTGTGCTTTTCCTGCTACCATGTTTGGTCTGTATGCTACTTAAATGGATAATTTTACTCAGGTAATATAGCTAAATGAAACTAACTTTCACTCACTGAATTGATATATTTGTAATGCCCGCTTGGCCAGGTAACTGTTGAAAAAGAGATGTCAATCTCAATGAGGTTACACCCAATTAAATAAAGGATAAATTAAAATTTGTCTCAAGATTACAATATTTGCTTTGTTTGAATTCCTTATAAACTCTCTTAAATAAAGAGCACCCTAAATAATGAGCTCTATTAGTTATAATCACTGCTTAATTTGTAAATTATGAGGTCTTTGATTGCATAAAAAGTTCCTCAATGGCTATGTTTAAGTAGTTTCCACATTAAGAGAGAAGCTTAGAGGCAAAAACATTACTTGTTGTGTGTTTTTGAGACCAAAAAAATCACATAAGAACACATGGATTTGCAAATATGAATAATAAATGTTGAGAACAAATGATGCTAAATACATTAAGACAGCGAGTCGATCCCTTCAACCTTAGTCTTGCTATTTGCTTGTCTTTTTTGCATTTTTTTTTTTTTTGCCTGTGGTGGAAAGTAGCTAAGTACATTTACTCAAGTACTTTACTTAAGTACAATTTTGACGTATCTGTTCTTTACTTGGGTATTTTCATTCTTAGCTGCATCATGCTTTGATTTCATTACATTTTAGAGGTAAATACTGCACTTTTTTACTCCACTACATTTATTTTATAACTTTAGTTACTACTTACCTTTCTATTTACTTTTTTACTACGACTTTTCAGAACCAGATTAATATAGAAAATTACAGTATGATTATAAGACTTTGTTGATCCCTGGTGGGAAATTCACAAGCTACCCAGCAGTAATTCAGATTATAAGCATATAAGCTAGTTAAAACTAGCTCCCGCTTTACCAGCTGCAACATTAAATGTGATGTACATAATAAATGCATCAGTAATTATAATATGATATACAGGAATGTGAAATGTGCCATTTGGCATAATGAGTACTTTTACTTTTGTACTTTTAAGATTCAAGATTTTTATTTGCCATGTATGCATAAACACACAGTCTAGGCATATAGGAATTCTTGTGCAGGGCTCTTCTGGAGTCAAATAAAGAGTTTAAAGCCAAAAACAACAAACACCTAGTCTAAATATAAGATCACCCAAGAATTTTACTTAAGTAATGTTTTGAATGCAGGACTTTTACTTGCAACAAAGTATTTCTTCACTGTTATATTGCTACTTTTACTTAAGTAAAGGATCTGAGTACTTCTTTATTAGTAATTATTAGTAATTTATTAGTAATTTTGCATAGCTTTGCTGTTTCTTGAAATCCAGTGAGCCAGTTCTTTCTCTTGACCCTTTAATACTTTAGTACTCCTTTCTGCCGCTTATGGTAAATCAGACATTTAAAAGTCTCTTCATCAAAGTACACAGTGAAAGTTAGTCATTTCTCCCAACTCTTTAAATACATTGTCATGTGATAACTTCATTTATATTGTCTCTCACTGTGTATTTCATTCTTCTTTTAGGGCCGCTTCAGGATCAGCCTCTCAGGAACAGGTTTTAAAGTGGCTAAAGACGCCTTGTGGATCTCCCAGGGTAACTTCGCTGTAGCCGATGTACAAAAATCACAGGTACTAGTAACTTGTGATATACTGGGAAAATTCACAAAATATAGGCACACTGTATGATTTTATAATTGTCTTGTTTTGAAAACCATTTAAAAACATAAAGAAAAATTACCTCATTACGGACCCATGATGATATTTAGTGAGGTATTGGGCATCACAGAACTAAATAATCCAAAGTTTAAATGCTAACATCCTTTTATTGTTTCCTCTATTCTGTCCTGTTGCCTCTCACACCCCATCCCTCCCCTCACTCTCTCTCCTCTCTTGGCTTCAGAGCTCCAGGTGGGCATAGTCCCAAGTGGGCTGTGTATTCCTGGCTTCATTTCTCTGCATAAACACACTGACAAATAACCTTTACTGGGCAGCTGCTCTCTCAAGTGCCCCCCCCACCCCCCCATTCCCCTCTTCTCTCCACTTTTGAAATGGAGATCAAGCTGGAGCGTGCTTGGTAGAAAGGCGAAAACAGGAGACAGGGAAGATGCCAAAACATGTTCACAGTCTGACATCCATAGCCAGTCGACCCCAGGGAGTTTAAATAAAGCCAGGTTGTGACAGTGGAATGGAGAGAGTGCTTTAGAGGAGATCAGACAAACCACTCTCTATACACTGTGGCTTTCATGTGACAGGACAGTGCTTTTGCTGTGTTTGTCTGATGCAGTTTCCTTTTTGTTTCTAAATGTTTGTGTGAAACAACCAATTATGCTGCATTCAAATTGTTCCAGTGAAGCGCTGGTGATTAATTAGCTTGTATTTATCTGCTTGCTGCTGTGAGTGATTACTCAATTCACACCTGGCCACAACCAGCCTGGTGGACATCAGTCTTTGTCACCTTTTGGAAAAGGAAAAGCACACTTCACTCTCATCAAAACAGTGCAGTCACAAATCTCTTTCAAAGCTGTGAAATTCTCAAACTACTTGAAGAAGCATAACCTAGATCTGTTTATACTGATGTTTCAGATCAGTGACAGGTGAAATAATGCTTCAACCAAAGATTTCTTCATCACAGAAGCATACAGTGATCCTGAAAAATTACTATCTCATATTTATAGATCTTAACTTGTGTTCATCTAAGCTTCAAAGGCAGGATCAAGTGTAATTCTTAGTATTTCTCTTGTGTCCACAGGATGGTAGCAGAGTGTTGGGAAAGTGCGGAGGCTACTGTGGAAAATGTACACCGGCAGGCTCCCGTCTGCCAGTGACAGTGGAATAGATCCAACTCCTTTAAACAGGTGAGGAATAACTACAGTAGTTTGATTAAAAAGGTACATTATGTAATTCAAATAAAGGCAAGAGTTTAGCCCCACTCCTAAAATTTCAAAATGCATGACTGGTACTTGCTCTAACTTTCAAATTGATAAGGACTTCATTAGATTTACACAGCAAAGTCTAAGGTAGTATACAGGGTAATGTTTTTTAAGTGTTCATAAAGGATGATTTGTGCCAGTATTAATATTAGTATTGAACTTAGTACTAAAATCTACATTACTGCTCATATTATCCAGTCTTTATAATGCTGTGCATTGCTATCAGTATATTTAAATGTTAAAGTCAGTTCATGACTTTTTTTTGCATCAATCCTCATTCATCTCAACCATCCTCTTCAGGTGCTCATCATGTCAGTACATCCCCTCTTTTTGGTGCTACAGCCGACCTAGAGCTCAGACCTGTCCTTCACTTCTTTTTCACTCTAATGTGTGTAAATTGTAAATTAATGATGTGTAAGTACTGTACATAGCAGCATAAAAATGTCTTATTTATTGTAATCTCCATATATTTTTATATCATAATATAATTCCAGGGTTTTGTTGTCAATATCAAACACCACACCAGTGCCATTTATCAGAATTTTGCCAGAATGTGCCTTCCACTTTGAATATTAGCCACTAGCACTGTTGTTATAGCACAGTGCGTGTGTTACAGCCATATGATCCTTGTTGTCTTTACTTCAATAATGTTGTTGTAGGTTACAAAAACCAAACCAGAAAGATTATTCTGCCAGACATCAGAGAGAAGGAGCTTAGTCTGTACATCCCTCAGGTAGTGTGCAACGACCAGAGAGGGCCATTAGCCTTTTAGCTTTTACAGAGCAGACAGGTTATCTTATCTGAAGCGACTTAAAAGAAGTCAGGGGGAAAAAAGACTCCACCTTAGGCCAGATGCTACCTATAAACCACTGGCCTCCAATGTCACACATTCTTCTCTCCAGCTTTGTTTTTAAGAGCCTGTGCACACTGTATATACTGATATGCTCCTGTTGTGCGCATTCTGACTTGTTTTTGTAACAATATCAGGGTACTTTTTGTATATGTATGGCTTTGTGTGTCTTTAACAAGTGATATACAGTTTTTTTTTTGAAGACACATGAAGAATTGAGAAATAAGTCATGAAGATGCAAGAAGAAATGGGTCTTTACATTCTTTAAGACTTAAGTGTGTAAAGTAGGTATGTAGGGTACATAGTGTATGCACACATTGTTAAGAAGCCATATTTGCTTTTATAAGAAATTTAGTATGGTGCTATTTCAATGTCTTATATGATGCTGTGCACACTTCAGCCAAAGGGAATTTTACAGTCTTCTGCCGCTATACAAATATGAAATGGGGGAGTAAGCATTTTGTGCATTTCTGACAAATGCTCTTCTCTGTGTGAATGTCAAAATATAGTGTAGTTCAGTCAACAGAGTTCTCAGGTGTCAAACAGTAAATGAAGGGATTACTATGATATTTAATTTGTATGTATCTTGTTTTACACATTTGCCCCGTGTTTACCAGGTAAGTGGACATGTATTATTGAAGTTTAACAATGTAAAGTGTCTTTATATGCACCTCATTTTAAATGTAAATATTTATTTTACCTTTTCTTTATGTGAATGTACATAGGCTTTGTCCACAAATGACTATGAATTACCATATAGTATCAACACAAAACTAGAAGGGGCATTTCCTGAAGAAAATGCATGTGAATGCTGACTGTTGAATAAATTACGCTAGCACTGCTAAAGATGGCTGAAATTTATTACTGAAGCAGCTGAAGATTGAGATGCAAAGCTAAATGATCCTATAATATGAAAAGAAAAGCTGAAGTTGGGAGCTTCGTTATCTAAACATGCTGAGAACTGAAAAGCATCGCTGGAAGGTTTAATACCAAACTGAGAAGTAGAAATAAAATGGCTTAAAGTTGTAAAAGGACAGAACTATTTGTCAAAATAAAGTTTAACATGTATTTTAAATCACAGTCCTGATTTCCATGGTGTTTAGCTACAGCTTTTAATGTGAAAAATGTAAAAGCTCCTGGGTCTGAGGAGTTTTCACTTTAAAATCTGGGTTTGTATTTTGAAAGTCTAGCATACATGACAAGATCACGGTAGCTTCCTGGCACTGACTGCCACAGTGTCTGGTAACTTTGTGCATTTGAAGAGTTTTATTTTGAAAATCCAATGATTTAGACCATTAATCTAAGATCACTTAACAATCTGGGGTTTTTATTGTGAAAATACAGCTTGTTATAGCGTGACCTTGTAACTTCTTGGCAGTAATGGCAGGCTTTTATTTTGAAAATCAACAATACTACAGTTTCTGGTAGTTTCCTAACTAATAAGGGGCAGTTAATGTGAAAATCTGACATTTTACCCGGTCTTCATGTGATCTTAAGTTATCTTGGGTTTTTATTTTGAAAATCTGACATACAGTATTTCAGCGCAACACCACTTCCTGTAACTAACTGCAGGCCTTGAACTGAAGAGAGGCTTTTAATTTGAAAATATGGCATGTAAATGGGCCTTCATGTGAGCTTCCATCCATCCATCATCATTCGCTTATCCAAGATTGGGTCATGGTGGCAACAGGTTCAGCAAAATAGTCCAGATGTCTCTCTCCCTAGCGGCGTGTTCCAACTCCTCTGGCAGGATTCTGAGCCATTCCCAGGCCAGATGAGATATATAATCTTTCCAGTGTGTTCTGGGTCTACCCCCGGGTCTCCTACCAGATGTATGTGCCCAGAAAACCTCTAGAGGGAGGCCCCCTGGAGGCATCCCGATAAGATGCCTGAACCACCTCAACTGGCTCCTTTCAATGCGAAGGAGCGGCAGTTCTACTCTGAGCCTCTCCCAGATGTCCAAGCTCTACACTCTATCTCTAAGGTTAAGTCCGGCCACCCTGTAAAGGAAGGTCAGTTCAGTTATATTTGTGATCTTATTCTTTCAGTCACTACCCAGAGCTCGTGACCACAGGTGAGGGTTGGAGTGTAGACTGACTGGTAAATTGAGAGCTTTGCCTTTTGGCTCAGCTCCTTCTTCACCACAACAGCCCAGTACAACATCCACATTATTCAATCTCACACTCAGTTGTACCACTACTTGTGAACAACTCCCAACCCAGAGGGAGCACTCCACCGTTTTCCAGCAGAGCACCGTGGCCTCAGACTTGGAGGTGCTAACTCTCATCCTCGCTGTTTCACACTCAGCTGCAAACTGCCCCAGTGCATGCTGGAGGTCATGGTCTGATGAAGCCAGCAAAACCACAGGAGAAAGAGGACAAAGTTTAAGAGGATTTGAAGATTCCACCCATTCATATCAATGAGAAAAATGTCCTGAAAAAAGCAGAGTATTTTAAAAAGTATAAAGGTTACAAAAAATATGAATGGAAGCACACGTCTTTAACGAGCTGAACGTTTTGATATTTGAATGGGTTTTTTAGCTGAAAGTATGCTGAAGTGGTTAGCGATCAAAAAATGAATGGAAGAAAAACTGGCCATAACTTTATGGAGGTAGGAAAACAATAGTGTGACTGCTGAATCAGCAGTAGTTTCCACCAGGTTGCAGGAAGCTTCTCCAGCCCTAGACAACGTGAGAAATGAAACTCATAGAAGGGAAGAAAAGAAGGATCTCACCTTTGTGTGCAGCCCTACTGTGTTTCAAATGAGTGATCCTGGCAGCGAGAGGCTTCCAATTTTGCAGTTTCAGGATGATAACAGCCATTATCCAGGCCTGGGCAATCTGAGGAATGAAACTCAGCAAAGGGCACAGATGCAGGGTCCCACCACTGATCCTGAAGGTCTTTTTGCTGTCTCTGCTTGTTGGCCATTCTCGCCCCGTGAATGAGAGAGCCTGGGAAAATAGTGACTCAACGGACAATGATACTGACATAGACATTTGTGTGACATCATTAGAAGTTATCTTCTTAGCCCAAGCAGCAGACACCAGTTCAACAGCATTTAAACATTTGTCCATGTCCAGACCAAGACATTGTTGTACCCGGTACTTTTTAACCATACTGACTCTGAGAGACGAGGCAGTCCAAGTAACTTCAAAACAGTGCTGATTTATTCCATGAACACAGGCAAAAATTAACATTACACGCTCAGGTATCTTGCACCTCCAACATGCACGCAGGCAGATGTAAGATGAAAGCCCCTGAACCGAACCAGGCCTATACATTATATCCCCTCAGTTGGGCTAGCCCCATACTACACAGAAACGTCAACCAAGACGTCTCTGTTGCCAGCTTTGCAGCTGGCCATAGCAGTAGTCAAAACATGAAGCAAATCAGTGTGTGTGTGTCTGTTGATTAAGTGATGTGTAACTAAAAACATTCTCACACGACCTCTAGTAACATGTCGTGTCTTAAACATAAGAACATATTATGGCTAAGTCTACAGTTATACACATCATAATAATAATATTAAACACCCTGTCTGCTGACAGTCATCAACTCTTCTCTCTAGTTATCCTTGACCAGATGTACCCTGTAGAAACTCATAAGCATGACTAAGTATTTAACAGTCTAACTAGACATCCTCTCTCCACTAAACATTTCTAATACATAAAGTATCTATCCAATTTCTATCTGACTAAAAATACCTAACAACATGCTGCTAGTTCTCCCAGTCCCAGAAATGCTATTGAACATGATATTTACACCTGGTATCAACTGGGGGAACCTGAGCCAGAGCAAAGCATGCTTACAGCTGTTCAGCTATATTGCTAACACTTTTTCCAAAGCCCAAAGACGGATTGCAGCTTTTCTTTGGAAAGCACAAGAAAGGTTTTGATCTTTGTTTCACAGGGTCATAGCAATGTTACCATGGTTTAAATAGCAGTTGCCACTGTGTGACATGCATTGTTACTCTCTACAGAAAACGTGATTTAAAAATATTAGGTGGCATAGTGGATTTACCTGTTTTCCACACGGTGCCCCGGTCCTACCACCATCTTAATAGGCTGTAATCAAAAAAGAAACTGGAAAAAGAGAAATAAATAAAACAGAAAATACAACTGTGACTCACATGTGTTTCTTTTTGTGCAAACTGTCTAAATGTACTGTTACTTCTGACTGAAGGACAGTGGTCTCTGAATTATGCAGCTACTGCTTTTACTGGTCCAGGTTGTTGTTTTTTTCTTGCGTTTTGTGTTTGTGTGTGCAAGTGTGTGAATAAGACAGATAAGGGTGGATATGGACAAAGAATATTTGATACCGCTGTTTTTAACAAGGGCTCTGCCAACTGAAGCATGAAAGGACGAGGATATCAGATGTTTTGATTGTGAAATACATGACAAATCAAATTTTTGTGATGAATACCTCAAACAAACCAGCTCATTCAAAACAGCTGGGTTAGGTTAAGGTTAATATGTCAGTGCCTGTATTCTGGTGAGTACAGAATGTAGTTTTTTTTTTTTCCTCTGCCTGTTTCTGAGACATTCCCACAAGGATCAGACTTGGGAGCTAAGCAGCTGCAGGTTTCAGGCTGTACCAGACGTTCCAAACACTTGTGAATGTCATGTCCACCGCCTTGTAGGCAACTGCTCATTGAACCCGAACCAGCCTTGACAGACTTGTGCAGGTCTAAAGTTCACTGGCAAGATATGTGAGATAATGCATGGCAGTAGAAATCCTGGATCAAGCTTTTACAAAGAATGTGGGGGTTTTTTTCCACAGTGGCAGCAGCTTAAAAAAGACCACTATCAGCTCACTACACTAACACTCACTGTACTGTGTTCACTGTAATCTACAACCCCGAAAGGAGCTTCTCTTGGCTTCCAACACATTTTTGCTCCTAGAAATAGAATGCAAGCTGTTTACAATCCCACCAAGAGTGTTTAGACTTTTAAGATTTAATGAAGAGAGCTTTAAAGTCCTGAGGATCAGCACCACCCCTACCATCATTATCATCACCATTCCTCAAGGTAATCTAGGCTGACTTTGAACTGAGATTTAGTAGTAAGTAAGCCTCTGGCCTGCGTGCACATGCAAATACTTTGGATAGCCACCAGATACAATTTGTGTTTATCTTAGTGTGGAAATGGATTGGATGCTGTAAGTGATGGAATGTATTTGTCTGTGATCCTCTGTTTTTTTTTCCTTCATCCTCTGGTACAGTTGAGTGTCTCAAGGTTACCAATCTGTCCTTGGGACAAAGAAAGCAGAGATCTTCTCACGGTCTTTCTTATTCTTTCTCAATTCGGTTAAGTGCAGAATCATATTGTTTTGACACAGCGACACCTGCTCTGTTGCCTTTATTTCTTTCTTACTTCAGACAAGTGATAGAAAATGAAAGAGCAATGAAGAATGTGATGTCTGCAACAGCTATTTAGAACAGAGTATGCAGTAAACTGTACAGAGACCTGATTTAATTGTACTTTAATGGATGGGCTGATATAAGCACTTGAGCTATACTAGTGTTCCAAGTGCTGCTAATACTGTTTCTACAACCAAAACCAATTTTAAGTATGAAACAATTGATATATCTACCCATCCACCCATATAAACACCACAGTTCCTTATTCTAAACTATTATTTTAATCACTGTTCATTTAAAACTATCCAGGTGAAGTTCAACCACACTTCTTCTTGGACCCCACTTTCCCTGAGCCCAGCACAATTCATGATCTTTTACAGTATTACACAGCACCTTCAAACTCCACTCCAAAAGCAGGACAGTATCTCAGAGGTGTGGGTCATCTAGGCAGCTTTGAAACAGTGCCACTCCATTTAAAACAGCAAAGAAAAAATTGATAGAGAGAAATCTGAAGTGCCACACATTTGTGCATGACAACCACTGACCAGTACGCGCATGCTTGAACTTTAGAGAGGCTGATAGAGCTGCATAATAACTATAGAAACGGCTTCGGCAAAATGTGTGTCTAGAAATAATATAGA